GACGTCCGGTCGGAGCGCGAAGACGGCGAAGCAGGTACCCGCGAAGAAAAGTGAACCGAAAGTGCAAGCAGGTATTGCGTCTAACTTTGCGAACCTTTTAACGAGAACGAAATGGAGAAATGATTCTTTATAGAAAACTTTCGAAACTTTCCGATTACTATTCTTTTAACATCTTTTAACACTCTCGTTATCTCGTTACTCTTATTTCTCCTTGTGTACTTTTATTGGTATGATGATAATATTGTAATAATATATATATATATATATATATAAAGAAAAAAAAAAGGAAATACTTGTGTTTCAGAGAAGTGGTACAAGGATCTATCGATCTACGACAATGATCTCTATAGCGAAGAGGTGAATCTGTCGAAACGCGTGGAGGAAGAGGATACGGAAAAGGAGAGCGGGAGAATCGAGCGAAAATCGTTCCGTCGGAAAATCGGGTTGCTATTGAGAGGGAGCGCGGCTGAATTACCGGCCGTGATAAATCGCAGCCTGCAACCGATTAGGCGCAGCCTAAGTTTCAGCAAGGACTTGAACCGTCTCCAGGAGCCGTCGAAACCCCACAGGGCGAGCAGCGCGCATTGGTACAACAGTTTGGTATCTTTGGCGGAGGACGAATGTCTGGACGAGTATGACGACAGCCCGTCAGAAAACAGTCCAACGATCGAGGAACGATTGTTCTCTTCGAAGGTTCAAGTCACCAGGACGCAAAGCCTCATCGACACCACTTTCGTAAGGATCATTAGAAAAAGGAAAAACTTATCGATCGAGTCGACATACTTTATACACTGTGTATCGGTAAATTGATCGAGTTTACAGCCGAATTAATTCCTGTTCGATCGTTGCTCGAGAGGATTAACCAGCGTCGATGGATAGGATTTGCAAGAACGAGATAGCATTTTTATCGGGACAAATTTATTTTCTTTCATCGATCCAACGAGAAACCTTCAATCTCACCGGCGGCGCACTAGTTATGTAACGTTCATCCCCGCAATTAAGATCTAATGAGCGTCCCCATCGAATTTGAATGGGATTTTAAATGAATTTGAAATGGAAATCGAGTCGTTGGAGGAGGTTAGCCGCGGAAGATTGGTTTGCATTTGTATTTAATGTAAAATCCAATGGGGAAAACGCTGATGGAACATGATGAAGGGAATTACGTTAACCGTGCCTCTAATTTTTAATAGTTTTATTCGCTGGATCGTGTTTCGTTCGAAGAAACAAGGATATGAAATGAGATTAATTACCACTCGTTGTCGGAATTACGAAAATTTTCCCTTCTAATTTGTCGGTTATTTCATTTATATTTCAAAGGAAAACACGCTGTTATCAGTTGGCTAAATTTGTTTTATGTATCAACTTATTTGTTATTTTTATTTTGTTATTTTTGTCAAATTAATACGCGGGCCAATTTTAAGCTGTATATAATTATCCTGTGTTAATTTTAATACGGAAGAGAATTCATAAAAGTGGAAAAGAAAACGGGGCAACTCTTCATAACTGGTACTTTTTCAAATCGTAATGTTATTTTTAGATACGTTTCCAATATTATATAGACTTTTCGAAACCTGTTCAATTTAATTAATATCTTATAGAAGTTTCATCCATTCTTATTCGAACAAGTTTTATTTACTGAAACAATGATAGATAATACTTTCTCATCGATTCGATGGAGCGAGACTAAGTCGTGTTAATGAGACTTGATTTATTGGAATATAAATTAACGTCCAATGAAATACAAGACTGCTTATCTCGAGCTTGATAAAATTACTTTTTATTAAGACGATTCCTCTTTTTTTTTTCTCTTTCTCTCAATTTAAATAATTTCATTCGAAATAATTTCAAAAATTTAAACATTCTAAAGATATGAAGTTTCGCTTTTGCTTAAATTTTTTTTTTTTTTTTGCAATTCAATTCAATCACAATCTTCGTCAAAGTAAATATCTGTATCCAATATCTAATATTTAAATCAAACATGACGAAGAATTAAATTTGAATCTTCAACACGTCACCGTGTTGTAATCGATATAAATATAAATTCGAAAGAAAGCTGGAAGAAAGCTGAAATGTGAACCAACCTTAACACCAACAACGTTCTCTCCACTGTGTTCGCGGTAGAAACTTGATCAATAATTTTGCCCTCGCTTCGCGGCCAAGCTCGAGAGTAAATATTTGGATCGTAGATTAATCCAAGATTCTTTACGTTCTCTCATGTCCTTCCCTCCTTTTGTTCCTTTTCCTTACTTCTTTTAATACTATCCTTCCATTAAAAAGGAATCGGTCGAAGCCTATAAACTTTGATTCCTCACGTGTAATCGCGTCCAAACGTGGGAGGCGCATTAAGGGGATGAAAATATCCGCGTAGGCACGATACAACATCGGAAAGAAATATCCTCTTTGGCCACGCTAGAAAAAGAATCGATGTAAATAGAAGAGTAAACCACGAAACAAGAATCCTTCTTGTCTTCTTCCCTACATGTTTTATCGAAACCGAACAAAATGAACTTTCATGGAATCAAATTCTCTCCCCTCAATCCTCAATCCTATTTTTTTACCTTCGAAACATTCGTTGTTAAAAAACAATTTTCGATGTAGCATAAAATTCTGACGATACAAATTAAACTTCTCAACATATTTGTATTTATATCTCGACACTTTTTCATTCATTTTCGCGCGTTTTCGACCCGATATGAAAGAAGTTGCGTGTTTCAGCAGACGAGAAGCCCGAGGAGACGAGTGACCGACCTGCTCAAGCGAACTGCCCCTTATGGACGGCACAGCGATCATTACGACTCGACCATAGGTAATTTTCAATTATTTATGCCTCGCCTGGAATCGAGTTTGGGGCGAAAAAGCGGGCGACACTCGATTGGGAACAGCTCCAATTTTTCTGGAAATAAATTTTTAATTAATTATAAGCTCGGTCAACTTCCCTCTCCAAATGATCGAAAGGAAACGTTTACGAGTCTTCTCCGTTCCCACGACTGACAAAACTTTATATTTCTGTTCGCAGATTTGAGCAATCCACCGTTCGAGGCCAGCAGTCTTCCCGCTCTCACGCACACGGATGGAAGCTGCAACGAGCTAAGATTCCCGTAAGTGACGCAACATCTCCTCCCATTTCTATTGAAACTCGGCCTCGATAAAAGATCACGACAAATCTTTCCAACTTTCTCTTCTGGACGGATTGCAAAGAGGGGGAAAAGGAAAAGAAAGAGCATCTAGGAGGAACTATTAACTCTCCCTTCCTTCTTCCTTTTTTCTTTCACCCCGATTGATAAAACGCACGATAGTATTAAACAGGGGCTGGAGATAGCTCTCCAGTTATCAACAACTAGCAGTTAATTAAACTTCTTCCTCTACGACGGGCAACCCTTGTTCAACCCTTTTGTTTAAAGGGTCGAGCTGCGAGTAGTAAATTGCGCTTTGGGACGGGTTAATTTACGGGTGTCGCAGAGATCTCGCTTGTTTCTCAAACGTTGCACGCGGAAGGTGTAAACGCGCAATGCTGTTAAACCAGAGGAGAAGAATTTTCGAAGAACTTTGAAAAACGAGGGACAGGTTGTACGAGGAGGTTGCACCTCTGACGGATGGTGCGAAACGAAACCTTAAATCAATGTATCGACGCGTGGAACGAGGCGATCTCCTCGACACGGAACGAACGACCGTGCAAGATTTGTTTCCAAACTTGAGGAAACTCATAAGGGGAGAGAAAACGTTCCATGTATTTCCCGGATACTCGGACAACTCCATCGAGTTTCGTTTCCAGATTCACGCCTCTTTTCCCTCCCCCTCCATTTTCCAAGAAGTCGTTCGTTACCACTTCGAATCACCTCGCGCTACAAAAGCATAAGTTTACGTGTCACGAACGTAATTGGTTCGACCCAGTTGCTAACAATCCCGAGAAGTACCCCGAGCCGCGCTAGCCCTGAGCAATTCCGCTTATTTTTTCTCGCGGAGAACACACGAACACAAAATTTCTTTCTTCTCCTCTCTCTCTCCTTTCTTTCTCCAGTAACAACTGGATTGTTCACCAAATTCTAAACAACGCGGAATATCATTCGAACGAGAAAAGACTTCGATAAATATCATCGTATTTAAAATATTCATATTTATATTATTCGCAAGATCTGAAGAGATCTAATGATGTAAGAGATCTAGTGTGAGAAGGAAGCAGGAGTACTCGGAGTACTTTCTTCCTGTTGATAAATTGGAACAATGATACGGGCCTGACTTGCAAAATATCACGAAATACGTAAGATCCTGCGGTTAATTTTGCTTGAAAGGATTTAGTGGGGGAAAGGAAGGAAGGAAGAAATATTTCCTCCGTGGCCCAATCTTGGTAATGCCTACGGTATCTGCCCACGCACAAAGGCATACATGTATATAAGACTGTCGAAGGTTTTGCGCGGATAAAAACGGGGGAAGAAGGGGGAGAAGAGGTTTTAATCAATGCTGGACTGGTTTCCGGTTTGCGCGAGAAGGGAATACATGCAGAATATATTCCTCGAGATGGTTCGATTCGCGGTGGTGGTGGTGGAGGACGCATCGAAGATGGAACGGGAATGAAAAAAAATAAGATGTCTCCTACCGAAGTTTCGTCTTTCTTAACCCGGCCGGCCGTCATTTATCTCGAGGCGAGATTAAAAAGAGGAAGGTTAAATAGAACTAGCGAGATCATTCCCTTGGAATTGTGAATCTAGAAAGAGCTAGAGCTGTCTTTTATCTTCCTTCCATCGTAACAAGATTCGAATTAATTATCGAGAGATCCGGAGTGAAAGATTATTCCTTTCCTTTTCTCTTTTCTTTTCTTCCTCTTTTTATCGCATTTTTTTCTTAATATTATTGGAAGAAGATAATAAGTGGTCGAAAAAAAAAAAGAAAAGTGATGGAAAAGCACAATTTCTCTTTTTCCCCCCTGCTCTTGTTGATTAATACTGAATCAATCTCTATCGATCTTCGTGGGCTGGCTGGGTCAAGGTGGAGGAGGAGGAGGAGGAGGAGGAGGATAGGTGAAAATTTTACACCGCAATTTTGCTAAATTTTTTAATGGAATCGCGGCCGGTTATAATAGAAGCACGGCTATTAATCACTCGATTCGACGAAGTTCATCAGCTGGCGCGTGACAATATCGAAAATTCATTTCATTCTCGATTTATTCATCCCGTCATCCGTTATGGATGACATACGCGGGGATGAACGATTCTTCGGATAAAACAAAAAGAGAATCGGAATGATAAATTGTCAGAGAAGTAGTTAAGCAAGAAGAAGAAGAAGAAGAAGAATAAAATCATCCGTTTAATCGAGACACGATCTGAAAAATATTTCCAAATATTTGTTTCCCTGTAAGATTTTTTACAAAGTTATCGAGGCTTTATTTTTAACTCGAGCTCGTGGACTGGTGAATGGTTTATATTTAACCAGACGACTTTTCCTTTTTCAGCCGTGAAGGGGAGCAACAGGTCAGGAACGAATGGAGGAACCTGAAAGTTCCTGTCGGTCGAAATCTGTCTTCCCTACATGTCGGCCCCGTGAACCGTCCAGAGGTAAGTGTCTGACAAACAGTTTAATTAGTTCAACGTATTTCTCTATCACGTATTACCCTCTGTTATTTATTTTTCCCCGCTTTATTACATCGTTAAACTATTAATCACTGAGCCAAAGAATCTCTTCCTCTCTAAAAGTCGAGGTGAAAATGATATATCTATCTATCTTGCAGTGGAACGTTTTGTCTAAGATGTTACGAGTCTAGGTTGATAGATAATGATCGAAAATCTAAATTATTTTTAACGGATGCTTTTAGAGAATAATTGCATTCAGTTTATTATTTGCTGCAAAGCAATTTCTCTCGTTTATAATTCTTTCCATTTATTATTTACAATGAAAATTCCGAATAGATGGAAGTATGATATAAATGAAAGTGATTTGCAGTTTATACGTGGACAATGAAAAAAATATTAATAACAATTATCCTAGCTTTAATTCTAATCAAAAAGAAAATAAAAGTAATATAAAATAAAATTCGTATATATACACGTTTTACTAAATAAAAAACGTGCATTATTAGGAATTACACAGCCTCCAAAAATATTGGAAAACATTTGTCTCGCAGGAAATAATTAAACAATCGACGAATCTGAGAAAGTTAAAGCGAGATTATTGTGCTCGCGAGGTGATCAATTAAGGATACAGGGGGGAAGTTGATTAATCAACGAAGTTTAATAACGTTATAGCGGATTAACTTTTTTCGTTAAGGAACAGTTTAACGAATGTTTCAATGTCCTTCGTTAATTAATAGCAATACTCAGAAGGGGATCTGTCATACGTCGACAGATTTAAGGAATCCTCTTTTCCCCCCCTCAACTATACGTACACATTAGCCCATAATTAACAGTCAAAGGATTTTCATGTCGATTCCCTAGACGTATTACACGCAAAGAGATACGGCTTTGAAATATTTCACGGGCGCCTTATCCTTTTGACTACTCGACTAGCCCGAATAATCCTCGTTTTCATCCGGAAAGAACGGTAAAAAGACCTCGCCAGAGGCATCGAGGCTCCCTCTCCGAACGCTTTGAATCAAAGACACGCCTCTCTCCCCATGTTTGTTCCTCTATCGACCGATCTTCCGAATCGTCGTTGCCTCCTTATCGTTCGTCATAATTCGTGATTCGGCTCTTCACATGTGAATATTCGAGAAAGGGGGAAGAAAGTATCGAGTATGTTGTTGCCTTCCATCTGTTTCGAGATTAATAAAGCGACGAGCAGAAAGAGATATAATGATATAAAGAGATATAATCCTCGAGATATAATGGAATACGAACGTTTTCGTGAAATTCGAAGATCGTAACTCGTTCCTGTTTTCGAATTGGAGGAATTGAGTAGATTTAAGTGGACGACGAAAGTTCGTTACTTTTCTCTCTACCACAAAGAATAACCTTTGTTATTGGAAAAATGAGATACTCGTAATTATTACATAATTTTAATCGTATCGCTCGTTTAATATTTCGCGATGTATTCCTTTTTCTTTAATAATTGTTTCAACAATTTTTATGAATAACAATTTATTCATATTTTTATACATATATAAACAACAGCGAATATAAATTCCAATATCCCGGCATGCTGGAGCGATATAGTCGGATTATTGGAGTACGATCTCGAAATACGATAGGAGAAAAGTAATACGAAAAATCGAATGAAATGAATCGATAATAGGAATAATTTTCCAACGAAGATAATTAATAGATATATCCGTGTCCGGGTATAAAAATTAAGTGATATCAATAAAAGAAAAGAAAAGAAAAGAAAAAATCGTGTTCACGATTCGAATTTATTATACGTGTAAATGAATCATCATGATCGTTAGAATTTTTCCTCTCTGCTCGAAACATTTCTTTTGTCCACCAAGTTGTAACAAGTTCAAAGATAAGATAACATCCAACTATCAATTGGCACGGATGATTGCACGTTTCCACGCTCGAACGAGCTGCAAAAAAAAAACCATTCCCTCGTTGAGATCTTTATGCAAGATTAGTAAAGTCCCTCCCACCCCACTAGAGAAAATTAATCACGCTCTTAATTAGGGAGAAAAATGTGGTGATCGTAAAGCTATCAAAGCGAAAGTAATTACTCTCTCTCTCTCTCTTTCTCTCTCTCTCTCTCGATTAACAACGAAAAGGAATAATATGGTGAAAAAAAAGAAAAAGAAGAAGCTTAGAGAAAAAAGAAAGGAAAAAGTGCAATCGTAGTTTCGAACCGCGTTTATATCCGGTATTAATTGTTCGAGCATCGATCTCGAAACGTTTGCAGGAGGCGCCAAGTCCTCGAAATTGGCACGAAGACGAGAATTCGTATCGTCGTTTATATTGTTTCGAACGTGACGATCCCTCTGAAACTCGTATCAATTTTTTCGCGATCGTATTCCACGTAGATGAATACAGGTGAGAAGAATGGCGCGGATCGTTAAATTCGTCGAAGCACGGGAAAAGATTGCTATAAGCGTCGATTCCCTCTCTTTTCTTTCCATTTCTTTTTTTTCCTTTCTTTTTCAAATCAATCAAAACAGGAGTAGAAAAGGGATCGATGAAGAAATCGAATCGAATCTCTTTAAAGCGAAATTTCTTCGTCACTGTATGATATATTTTCTCGATAACTTCTCACTCTGATCGGCCCGAAATGCCGACAGAAGCATCTTTTTTTCTCATTTTCCTTTCTTTTTTCTTTATCATATTATTCCTTTTCGTTGTTAATCGAAAGAGAAAGAGAGAGAGAAGCGGAGAAGCTTCTGCTTCTGCTTTTGTCTCATTCTCGTTCGCTCTTCCCTTTCCCTTCTTTTTTCCCCTTTTCCAGCCCAACTGCTCGTTTCCCCTCGTTTCGCGCGCTCGGCCTCGCCTCGATTTCATTTCCAGGACGATTCAATCTGTTCACGGTTCCGTGTTACTTATCGCGGCTCAAAATTGAACGCAATCCTCGATGAGGCGAGCGATGAACGATGAGTCGTGTCATGGACGATGGAACGTTCCAGCTTGATAGTTCTTCATCAAACGGGGGGATATCCGTTCTCTCTCTCTCTCTCTCTCTCTCGTTCGACCTCCAACGACGATTTAGCGAGAAATTTTTAATCAACCACCGCGGTGGACGAGTTTTAAGGGAGGAGGGAGATTTATGGATACGGGTCCGGTCCGAACGAAGGAAGGAAAAAGCGCGAAGAACAGCTGTTCCGGCGGCGAATGTATCGCAGCTGCGAGTTTCCGTTAAATTTAACACTCTCGGCCGCGGAAATCGCGGGTTGCTTTCGCGAGCTTTTGCGATCCAAGGAATATAAATTAAAACGAAATTCGGTTCGTGCTTCTGTTTTTCGCCATATTAAGGGGTGGAAGCAGAAATAATTTTAACGAATGAATAATATGGGTCAGTGGTTGAGATTATTATACGGATTAAAAAAAAAAGGAAAGGAACTTCTTTTTTTCCCCTTCGTTTGATAAATCTGAGAAAAATTGGATCTGTCTTTAACGTGTCGGCAATTTCATTAGGATTATCCTTTGTGGAAGGGGTAGAATTTGTTGGGAAGATAAAAAGAGAGAGAGAGAGAGAGACCTTTCGTTTAGAATTTTTAACAATCGAGTTAATCGAGTGTATCCATCTTTTCCTTTTGACCCGCTCTTCAAGTTTTTAATTAAAATATCCGCCGAAATACAAACCTATGCTATGGTCGTGTCAAAGTTGAACGAAATCGTAAATCCGTCGATTTGGATGATGTAATAAATTTTTCCAGCGGTGGTCACCCGCACGCCGGTCGATAATAATAATTGAACGAAATAAAATAGAAAAATTCGAAATGAAACGAGAAATTTTGCTTTTCTCCGCGCGAATATCTTTCAAACGCGGGAAGAGATTCGATCGATTTTACTCTCGGCGAGATGCACAGTTATGATTTTTCCGTGTAATCCGTTGTCGAAGCTCGATTCAAGTTGCGATCGACCGCGGTCGTAAAACACTGTTTCACGGTGTTTCATTAAACTTACACCCGCTCGTATGCGCCGGATATCGATTTTGGATAAAACATTGGAAATAATGAAACGTCTAATTCGGTTCCTTGATAAAGAAAGAAAGGATGAAATCGCAGCAATCGCGTCCCAGTTTTCGAAACTTTTCTCGTTATTTTCGTTCGATTTATACTACGCTACTATAAACATTGAAATATTCGTCAATTAATTTTCCAATTTGATAATCTCGAAATTTATCCGTGTATTAATTATCGTAGTCTATCGTAATGAGATTAGTTCGTGAAAATTTCAACTTTTTCTTTTTTAAATTACGTTATCATTAGAATAATTCTTTTTATTCGAATTAGAGTTTTTTTTTTCTTTTTGATAGATGGAAATATTTCGTATAAATTAATTATAATTATTTTATGGAAATAAAAATGATCTTTTGATATATGTACATTTTTAATAAAGTGACGACATATGTGCACGCGTTTAAAATATGTACAAATTTATCTGATCAAATCTGAACAAATTTATATTGATTTTCTCTCTATATAGATATAGATTCATATGTGATACAGTTATGTATACTTATTTACGTTTATATTATTGATCATTAATTCAAATATTAACTAATCGAGTGATTCAATTTCGATTTAATCGAGATTATGTGAAATAATAATATGTTTTGTGTTATTATATATTATCCTCCATGCTTAATATTGCATGGAAAGTAATAATAATGGAATATGACGCTTCGTTTCGATCTCACAAACGATAGAGATAGTTC